GCGATTCTCAAGTAAGTCGCGGGGAAGTCCGCAGCGAGAGCGTGACTCGTGAGTGTCGAGGGCGCGGCGTTTCGGTACATTGCGGGGAAGTTCCACGCGTTCCACAATAACTTGTGAGGACGTCCCGCGCAAAAGCGCAATGTTGAACAAAGTGTGAGGAAGTGCCACCTTTCCAATGAGCAGGCGAAGGCGAGGAGAACCAAAGCGGGAACCGTTGTTGTTGTAATTCGGGGGCCAGGTGGCCACTCTGAGCTTCAAGACTGCCCCTTGTAAAAGGATAGGGTTTGAGCCCCAGGAGGGACACCTCAACTGAAAAACACAATGAGCACTGGAAGGGGGATCAACAATAACTCTAAAACAAATGAGAATTCAGCGACTCTCGCTTGATCCTTCTTCACATTTTATCCAGCATTGCGTTTTCTCGCGCAGGATTTCCCTACGACTTGATTAGCTACAGGAAGTGGCGCTCTCGCTCCGGACCCCCTAGTGGTCTATTTAAGCGCCAAGCCGCCAAGCTCTCGACGCCCAGAAATCGAGCTCTTGTACGAGACCTCGTCGCAATTTACTCTGGACTCGCGCTCTCGCCTGAGGCTTCTTTGCAATGTACAGCTGGACATATAATCAAACAACTTATCGCTTAAGAATTCTGGGCAAGCTTCCGGGCAGTATCTTCAGACAAGCCTGGGCAAACTGTTTCTATTAACGCTGGAGTGGGGAACGTGCGCAAACTGGGACAGCTTTCCAACACATTGGTCAAAAAACGCTGGCCCAGCTGCTTGGGAGGAGGTTTGTTAATCAGATGTTCCACCGTACAACAGAAAATCGCTTCAATGCCCCGCTCGCCCGATCCGCGCGTTAGGGCCTGCCCGCCCGCCCAACACGGTAGAATCCGCTCGCTCGACTCGCCTGTTAGAGTCCACCAGTTCGCCTGCCTGAAGCCTGCCCGCTTCAATGTCCCGCCCGTCGGGATCGCTAGGGCCCGCCCGCCCGACCTGCCCGTTGCCGTTAGGGTCCAACCGCCCGACCTGTTCGTTAGGATCCGCCCGCCGGGCCTGTCCGTCCCGGTCCGCCCGTCCGCGTGCTTGGAAAGAGCCTGTTTCTTTTTGGATTCAGGCAAGTTTACTTGCATGGCGTTGGCCCCCCCCCCCCCTCGCCCCTCTTCAAGCGAATACTAGCGTGCAAATGCCTTTCGACTTGCGTGATTTCCGCGCCCCCCACCCCCCGGGCTTGCTTCAGATCAGCCCCCCCCCCCGTCCATGCAAGTAAACTTGCCAGAGTCTAAAAAAAACAGGCTCAAACCCTCCCGAGCTCTTAAACACTCCGCCCGTCTGACCCGCCTTTTAGGGTCCGCCCGCCCGGTCCTCTAGTCAGGGCCGGCCTGCCCGACCCCGCCGCCAGGGCCCGCTTGCCGAAATCGTTACTCCTCTCTCCTCCCCTTCCTGCTGGTTCCTGCCCTCGGTCCTCCCCCCTCCCTCTTGCCCCCCTTCTCCATCATTTCCTCCTCCCTTCTCTTTTCCCTGTTCTTTCCCCTTTTTCTTTTCCCCTCCTCGTCTTTCTCTTTTCTTTTTCTTTTCCCCTCCTCATCCTTTTTGTTATTTGTTTCCCCTTTTCTTTTCCCTTCCTCATTTTCCCCTCCTCATCCTTCCCTTCTCAGCCCTCGCTCTGTTTCCCTTTTTCTTTTCCCCTCCTCCTCCTATTTTAGAGGCCGCGCCAACTACACGTGGCAGTCAAGGAAGACAGATCCCCAAAGTGTATGCGACTGAAGACGAAGAGGGCAGGTATCGATCGGGTTGGGTTGTACATGTCGGGTGACACGCCAGCAACGAAGAGCAAGCACTCTTAATCGGATTGTTCTTGTCGTTGATTACACGATCGGCGGCCACCAGTTATCCAATTATCATTTTCTGTGGGTTCTGTATTTTCGCCTGTTTGCCCCTCACGCTCCTCTCACGTTTTCTTCTCTCATCATTCCACATGCTCCTCGCCAGGATCTTGGTCATGATCGTTCTGCTGCTTCTCCTGCTCCTACTCCTGCTGATGCTGTTCCTTTTCCTGCTCTGAATTCCCATCCGCCGCCTCCTTATGTTTATGCTCCGCATCCTCCTCCTGCTCCGCCTTCCTGATCCTTCCGCTCCTGCTCCTCCTGCATCTCCTGCTAATCATCAGGTTACTGCTTCAAAATGATTTTCCTCATCTTTAAATTCCTCATGCTGCTTCTCATACTTATTCGCCTTCCTCACCCTGCTCTGCATTCTCTTAGAGTTCAATCATCCTCGCCCTAGTCAGCCTCTGACTCATCCACCAATCCATCGCAATCCACTCTTCCTGATAATTCACCTGCTCTTCCAGTTCCTCCAGTTTCCGCCAGTCTTAATTAATCCTACCCCGTTCCCCCTCTCATTCTGCTGCTTTTCATCTTGTCCCTCGTCCAACTCCTGCTGTTGCTTCTGCTTCACCATCTGCGTTAAACTCACTCTGCCCGTCGTGCATGATCATCACCACCACCACCACCACCATCATCATCATCATCATCATCATCATCATCACTATAATCATTATAATCATCATCATCATCATCATCCACATCATCATCACCGTGGTCATCGTCATATCATCACCATCATCATCATCATCACCTTCACCACCAGCACCAGCACAATCACCATCATCAGCACCATTATCACCAGCATCCTCATCACACTCATCAGCATCATCAGCATCATAATCAGCATCATCATCACCATTATCACCACCATCATCATCGTCATCGTCATCATCATCGACATTGCCATCATAATCATAATCATTCTCATCATCATCATCACCATCATCACCATCATCATCATCATCGTCATCATACTCATCATCATCATCATCATCATCATCAACAACAACAACAACGTCATCATCTTCATTATCATCATCGTCGTCGTCATCATCACCACCAGTGTCATCCTCGTCCACTTCCTCCATCCTTCCTCACACCCCATCTCACTCTCCTTCCTCCTCCCTCCTACGCTCTTCTTTCCTCCCCTTGACACCAGCATCATCCAAGGCGGGGGAGGGCAACGTGACGTGGGGATGCGATCACAGCTCGTTCAGCGGTGACGGGTACAGTACGGACGCGGGCACAAGAAACTCGCAAGAAACTCAAGCCTGAGACTTCGCGCGCGAGGTGAAACTGGGTGGAAACCCAAGGCACCCTGAATGGAGCAGCTTCTCAACGCCCGTTGCAAGTCACCGCGCTGCGCGCACAACGAAAAAACCAGAGTAACCTGATGACGCATTCCCCAATCAGAGCATGCACTAACAATCAGAGCTTGCACTGAAGGGGTCCTAGCGGATGCGGAGAGATTTGGCGAACATGCCCGGCCGATTTCGAAAGGCGGCTGGGTTCCAGGGGTCTGGCTTCCGGGTTCCCCGTTTCCTGGTTGCTGGCTCTGGGCAGATTTCGGTGGGCGGCGGGGTTCCCATGTTTCTGGGTTCCTGGGTTCCTGGTCGATCTCCTTATCGATCGGTCTCACCATCGATCTCATTACACACCTCTCTATCGATCACACGATCGATCTCACAATCGATCTCACTGATCCGTCGATCTCTCTATCGATCCCACCATCGACCTCACTATCGATGTCTCGATCGATCTCACATCGATCCGTCTAACTATAGATCGCACGAGCGATCCCACGATCGACAATACTATCGTCTTCACGATCGACCTTGCTATCGACCTCACAATCGATCTCTATATCCATGTCACGAATTTTCAAACCATCCACTGGCTGGGTTTTTCTCTGGTGTTATAACTTCTTCATGCGCGTCCCCACCGCAGGGCGATCTGGGCTCATGCTGCCGTGACGTGATGGCGCCCAGAGCTCATGCACAGGACGTCGGGGAGGGCGCTCGGGGCTCTCATGCAGGGGTGACAGGGGGGGGGCGGGGGGGGCGAAAGCAGGGGCGGCCACGGCGTGGCAGTCCAACAACCGAGCGCATCTCCGCGTCACGCCGTTCTTCCTCCTCTACGCTCCTCTCATCCGCCCTCCACGTTCCTCCCTCTTCTGCGAATCCTCCCCATGTGCTCCTCTCTCCTGAATGGGTTTCCATCCCCACTTCACCCTCCTTCCTCAGTCCTCTTCCCTCCGTCCTCCCTCCTCTCTCCCTCCTCTGTCCTCCCTCCATCATCCCGCTTACTTGCGCCCTCATCCCTCCTCATTCCCTTCGCGCTCCTCCATCATCCGTCCTCCCTTCGTTCTCCTTCTACTCCCTTCTTGCTCCTCCTCCTCCCCCTCCTCCCACCTCTGGTCATCCTCCTCCGTCCTCCGTCTTCTCTCCATCCTCGATTCCCTCGCTCTCCTCCTTCGCCCCAGGGAGGAGGGAGGAAAGATGCGTGGAGGGAGCGATCCGCTCGAACACTAGCCACGACATGCAACACAAGGTACGCAACAGAACCGCGTAACCGAACACCAAGTCAGACACCGTGGGGTTTCGCTCCCCAGCGACTTTTTTCCTGGACTCACCGCTGAAGTACAGTTCGCAGTGTGCTGCTGGCACGGCCTCTGTGGGGCCGCTGAGGCACGTGGCTGCGGTGGTGGGCAAGTGCTGCAGCAGCCCGGCCCACCCCGCCTGCCTTCAACGGTGTACGCAGCTACCTTGCCAGAAACCGAATGCACAACGATCTTCACGTGGTGCTCAGGGACCGTCGGGGCGGACGCACCCTGCTCGGCGTCGACGATAAGGGGCGAACAGCCCAGGGTCGGGCATTACACGTCTTCGCCTGGGAGCCTTTTCGAAGACATAGATCAGCGGCGCCCCTGAATACATGCATTGCTCTCCCCCGGGCTGCTATTCGCCCCTATCGTCGCCTCTGACCTGCCCCCCCCCCCCCTTCTGCTCCTTCCTCTGCCCCCGCTGCTGCCGCGGCTGCCCCGGGCCCCCCCCCGCCCGAGCAGAGCAGGGGCAAGCAGCGTGCTCCGGCTCTGGGCACGCGCGCGCGCGCCCTCCTGGACGCTGTTGGCGGTGGAGCCCGTGGCGTAGCTGCAGAACACGCCGCTGGGAGCCGCGTGTTCGCGTCGGGGCAAGAGGCGGTATGGGGCCGAGCTTCGACGAAGCCGCCCTGGCTGGCACACCATGGGGGGTCTCGCGCCCAAGGGTCGGCCGATCGCGGGGCGCGTGTTCCTCCCGTGTGCCCCCCCCGCCCTCCACCACCCTCTCCTCGTCTGCTCCTTCTCCTCGCTGTTTCAGCCGCTCTTGCTCCTTCTCCTCCTGCTGTTCCTCCTCCTCCTCCTCCTCCTCCTACTTGTCCTCCTCCTCCTCCTCCTCCTCCTCCTCCTCCTCCTCCCCATTACTCGAAGAAGTCGAACAGCACATACTTCCAGGAGTTGGCGTCCGCATGGTCATTATCCAAAAACAGACAAGGCTGTCCTGCGGATCCGCCTTGGGGCCGTCTAGGTGATACTCGTTGCCGCACTGTGGTCCGCATAAGGGCCCTCTTCTGGAGCCGGATTGGGTTCTTCTTGGGGCAATGTTGGGGCCATCGTGGACCATCTGGGGATGTTTTTGGGCTGTCGCGGGGCTGTCTTCGGCCATGTTGGGGTGGTCTTGAGCGGTCTGGGGGCCCTCTTGAGCCGTCCTGGGCTCTCCTGGACGCCCTGTGTGGCACTCTGTGGCTTCTCTGGGGCCCTCGTGGGCCTCCTCTGGGAGTGCTTCCGGGCGCCCTGTGGCTCCTCCGAGCACCACCTGGAGCGGAGAGCGGTTCGCCCGGAGAGCTGCTAGAGATGCTTCGGGCCGCCCGCCAATTTTTTTGCCTGGTTTCGGTCGTGTTGGGGCTTCTTCGGGCCCTCGTGGGGAACCTCCGCGGCACCGCAGCCGTCTTCGGGGCTCCTGGAGCCCTCCCCAGACCCACGTCATGATTGTTTCCTTGCGTCGACCCCCCCGGAATCGGTTTCTCATCCTGAGTCGTTGTTAGACGGTCCCCGGGCCCGGTGAGGGCCCCATAGGCCGAAAATAGAGAAAAACCTCCCGTCGTGATTTTTGCATGACTCGAGAGGTTCTGAGGTTGTCCCACGGGGACCCAGGAGTACAGGGGCAGGATAGGACGCTGCGTACGCGCCGTGCGCGCGCGGCGACGTGCCCGAAGCGCCCACCAGGGCTGGACCTAAATTCCGTTGCTCGTTTTGGAACCGTTCCGTTTTTCGTCCTGCTCTACCTGTTCTCCTGCACCTCCCTGCCAAAACGAAAAATCGGCGTTGGACAAACCTCCCTTTAGTAAACCTCCCCTTAGTGAAAACGGCCTGGGACCGACACCGACGGACCTGGACCCGCAAAAATGACGGCCGCGACGCCCTCTCGCGAACCGAAAACGGCCAATTCCTCAATCGACGTGTCAGGGCAGGAGGTCTGTCCGACCCCGAAAAAACAGAACACAGCCGAAGTCCAGCAAAACAGCGCTGAGGTCCAGCCCTGGCGGAACTTGCTCGGCCCCTCTCGCCAACGGGCGTCACGCGGGCCCTCTGCCCCTCCGGATATCCCAGCTCAGGACTTCTGCGTGCCCGGCGCCCGCGGCCCAAATCCTCCCAGCGTGAAGGGGCCCTGGGACACACACAAATAAATGCACACAGATAACAGGACTCCCTACATTTTCCCATATTTTCTGGGTCTCTGTCTTCCCCCCCCCACTTCCCATACTTTCCCATATTTTCTGGGGAATCAGCGATCAATTGTGTCTGTGTGTTTTTTCCCTCCTGACAGCGCTCGGCTCTGGCGCTGCACCTCCGCATCTGCAGCCTTCGGCCCTGCCTGGTGCGCTGAGCTCCTCCATGAGCAGCCCGGGCTTCAGCCGTGACGCGGCGCTTCTGAGACGGCCGGTGCCCCCTGTGGCGGGGCGCCCCGAGCCTGCGCCCCACCTGCCTCCATCCCGCCATGGCCCGGCCCGCCTGTCGGTGTAGCGTGAGTCCAGCAACTCGTGAGCCTCCCATGTAGGCTTCACGACAGGTGGCAGCCCTCATCATGCCACCATGTAGGCTCCACGACAAAGGATGGCCTTGGAGACGGCCCGTGCCCGTGCCCCTGGTGCTCTTGCCAAGGCCGGTGCTCGATATGCAAAATGAGGGATGGAGGAGGGGGGTGGGGAGACGGACGAGGAGGGAGGAGTTGGAGGTGGCCACGGGGTCTGAATTGGATGGGCTCGAGAAAATCGGCCAAGAAAATGGGATACGGGCAAATCCGCTCAGAATCACTCCCAGACCCCTCCCTGGGTCCATCTGGTGTAATTTTTCACCCCAGGTCCGTTTTTGACGGTCCTGGGGCCTGAAACGGCCCCTGGAAACCGAAAAAGGCACAAAATCCTCTCGCACCCAGAACCTCGAACCCTGCTCCCCTCCCCCCCCTTCCTTTCCTGCTTGCCGGAACCAGTGCTGGGCCACCTGAGACCCGCAGCCGGCTCTGACGGACCCTGGGCTGGCGTCACAGTTTTCGCGCCTGGCGTTTTCGCCCAGTTTCGGGCCCCAGGACCCTCGCATATCAATCCTGCTCGAGAAATGGCGCAAAAAGATAGGGTACAGGGCTTCAGGCATAATCTTATACGATGCTGCATTTTTTCGCGCCGTCGGAGCTCAGGGCCAGACGTGACATTTTTCCCAACCATCCTGTGGTGTTGGGTCCTCGTTTTGAAGAGACGGTGCCCCGCGTTCCTCTCCTCCTCCTCCTCCTCCCCCTCCTCCCTCTTCCCATCGTCATCATGATCATGATCATGATCATGATCATGATCATCATCATCATCATCATCATCATCATTATTATCATTATCATCATCATCATCAGCAGCATCATCATCATCATCATCATCATCGTCGTCGTCGTCATCATCATCATCATCACCATCACCATCACCATCACCATCACCATCACCATCACCATCACCATCACCATCACCGTCATCGTCATCATCATCATCATCATCATCATCATCATCATCATCATCATCATCATCATCATCATCATCATCATCATCGTCATCATCGTCATCATCGTCATCGTCACCCACGCCCATTTCGGCACACCCCTCATGCGTTTCGTGGCCCCGTAGGGAGCTCCACCGAAGGCCCCAGCGGCAGGGTCCGCATGCCTCCCCACCACCCATTTCGGCACACCCCTCACACGTTTCGTGGCCCCATAGGGAGCTCCACCGAAGGCCCCAGTGGCTGCGTTCGCATGCCTCCCCACCACCCATTCGGCACACCCCTCACACGTTTCGTGGCCCCATAGGGAGCTCCACCGAAGGCCCCAGTGGCAGGGTCCGCATGCCTCCCCACCACCCATTTCGGCACACCCCTCACACGTTTCGTGGCCCCATAGGGAGCTCCACCGAAGGCCCCAGTGGCAGGGTTCGCATGCCTCCCCACCACCCATTTCGGCACACCCCTCACACGTTTCGTGGCCCCATAGGGAGCTCCACCGAAGGCCCCAGTGGCAGGGTCCGCATGCCTCCCCACCACCTATTTCGGCACACCCCTCACACGTTTCGTGGCCCCATAGGGAGCTCCACCGAAGGCCCCAGTGGCAGGGTTCGCATGCCTCCCCACCACTCATTTCGGCACTCCCCAACACCCATTTCGGCACACCCCTCACACGTTTCGTGGCCCCATAGGGATCTCCACCGAAGGTCGGGGGGAGCTTGAGACTCTGGTGACACATGCGTTGGCACGTCTGGGTGGCTATCGGGTGGCTGGAACCGTTGGGGTAATCCGTGGAGAATGGGCTGTGGAAGTCGCTTCTGAGGGCCCTGCCACTCCATCTCACGGTCCAAATCCACGGGCAGAGCATCAGGTTTGACCCTTCTGCTTCCAACTCAGGCCGTCCCCAGTATATGAAGTGCGTCACCCGTACCTTGTAATTTTGTTCTCTATGAGTCCATGCAGTTCGTGTTCTTCGTGTTCCCAGACCACCATTCCCGGGTTACATTTTCAGTGTCTTCGTCTCATATCCGTGCGGTACTCGCGGCTGCACATGGTTGGGTCCTCCGCCAGGCTAATTTTTTGGAGCCCGAACCGTGCCCTAGGCCCGGTGCTGCATCCCGAGCAATTTGCCGAAAACGACGGACAACTTGAGCCGCCGCTACTTCCTCACGACGCGGGCACGTCTGGGGTGGGGGGGGGGGGCAGTCGAGGAGGGAGGAGACGCGTCGAGGGCGAGCACCCAGAGCGACTCAGGGCACCTGCGCGCTGGGGCGCTCGTCGAGCCCCCACGATCTTCCCAACGGGGCGGCCCTGGGCTGCAGGAGGGCCCGCAGCGAAGAGGGCTGGGCGATCGGCCGCCTCCTCTTGCTGCTGCTGCTGCTGCTGCTGCCTGCTGCTGCGGCTGCTGCTGCTGCTGCTGCTGCCTGCTGCTGCTGCTGCCTGCTGCCTGCTGCCTGCTGCCTGCTCGTGCTCGTGCTCCTGCTCCTGCTCCTGCTGCTGCTCCTCCTGCTCCTCCTGCTCCTCCTACTCCACCTCCTCCTCCTCCTTTCTACGTTAGCCCGACTTAAGGATCTAGCCTGTAGCGTTCTTGAGCGACTGTGAAAGTGAAACAGTACGACTTGGGGCACTGGTACCTGGCGGGCGCCGCAGAACAGTCAGTAAGCGCCCGCCAGGTACAGAAAACACAATGTTCCTCAATGGGTCACAGACATGCCGTAAATAACAAAACCCAGCTAATCGTACCCCCATCATATTTCTGCCTCCATGCAGTTTGCAGTGAAACGTAGGCTTAGCTGAAGGGGTGGCGTGTACACGTGGCTGGCTCAGGTCTTGCTCGCTGGCCACAGTGGGCAACTGCACGGGTTGCCTCGGGGCGGTAAGCAGACACCGGGCTTGTATCGCCTTCCCGACCTCCCCCTGCCATAAGGAACCGACCTCTACCCTTTATGCTTTCAGGTACTTGCTGCCTCAACGCGGGCTGCAGCGAAGCCTACAAGAGTCTGGAAAACATGTGTGCGTGCGAGTGGCCGGCACAGGTCTTGCTGGCTGGCCGGGGTGTGGCAACAGCACGGGCTGCCTGGCTCAAAAGTGTTGCAA